AACCTCGACCACATTTATTTCCTAACTTCACAAAAAACTCTAAAAAATAACTCTTTTTTCGAGTCCAGACTTGAACGATTCTTTGACCGAGCACAAATCACCGTAGAGCGATATAGATCTCAATCTGAAACGTGTACGTAAATCCATCTAACCGGACATTCGAAGGAATTTAATCGCAATCGAGCACGCGTAATCACCTTCGATCGTACGAGAATAAATCTTTGAAACCGGGTATTACCCGATCCGCGGTGAATTCGCGTTGTTACGTTGAACGACGCGACACATCCCGTTTCGGTTATGTTTTATTGTCTACGTGTCCGGGGGCGTGCACGTAGCCGGCGCGATCCACTGTCTGCGAAACGCGCGGCACGACAACGATATCGCGCCGGAAATAATGCCGTTGCGTTATTACTGCGAGACACCCATTGAATAAATTCGATATCCAGAGCGTAATAACGTTTGCTCGCTTCGAATTCTTCCGGTGTCTCTCCTCAGCTCTTCGAATCGTCCTCCTTTGCTCTCCTCCTCCTCCTTGAGCCGGGCTAAAAGCATATCTCTCCTCGGCACAGTGAAAACATGGCGGATGAAATTCTTGATGGAGAGCAGAGAGCACCTGAGAAAACGTGTACGTTTGAATATTTTACAAAAGCGGTGGAAGTGTAGTATTTTCGACGAAATGTGTCGTTTGTACGGTAACATTTCGATATACCGGGTGTCCGAATTTGTTTTCGACCAAACTTCGTCAATATGTTCTATGGATGTAGATGAGAAGAAAATGTCGTATGAACGTAGGTCGTTTGAAGCTTCGTTAGAAAGTTATGGCAATAATACGAAGTACGAAGATAACGGGTGTGCGGTTGTTAATAGAACAGCGATATGTACATCTCGCGTCTGTTTAGTCTGTTTATGCAAGCTGTGTTTATTACGTGAGGTCGTTAAAGGTGTTGAATGAAACTTCTGCCGGGGCCATTTTTGTTTTCCATCTTAGCAACCGCAAGTATTTTTAGTTGTAGCCTTTTAACGAAGCTCTAAACGACCTATGTTTATATAACATTTTTCTCTTGTCTATACCCGTAGAAGACACTGACGAAGTTTGATCTGAAAAAAATTGGGACACCCGGTATACAGTGCAAACGTGGATTTTTTCGAGATGAAGGTTATTATCGCTTTTGACAGCTATAGTTATCGCTATTGAGTAACAGCTACTCCTTTGCCTACGTAGTTCTCGCTTTCTCTATTGTTTCACGAAAATACTGCAAAACTTCTTTCTTATTGGCAACAGGAATTCCAATTTAATAGCTTGATTACGCGGACCATCCTTGTACCTCGTGCTCCTTGCACGTTACAGCGTCGAACGCCGCGAGCTATTGAACGTAATTTAGCGTCTAAACTTCTCTGCGTAATTTATAACGAACCCTTCCTCCCGAATACCTTTGCAGTTGCCGAAGAAGTAGGGGTGGACGTTACAGAGGGAACGTAGCTTAAAGTCGAAAGTCGAGAAATTGTGCGGCTTCTTTGGCGAGTAAACGTGAAAAATATAAATGTAAACACGCACGAAGGAAATTGGTATCCGAAGTAGTGAAATATCTGTGAAATTAATTAAGCGAAAAGTTAGAAGAAAGTCAGGATGGAGAAGTTCCTCCTGCAAAATCTGAAAGCTCCACCGAGCCAAGAATTCAATCAAGTCCAAGGAGTACAACACAAGCCTTGTCAAGTTACCGAACGTTAAAGAATGTAAAAGTTCCTGGCGGATCGTTTTTAATTAAACTACGTCATACGCAGTAGGAAGATTACAGAGATGCTAATTAGAAATTCTTGCGATCTCTGCATCGATCTTGCACAGCTTGAAAAAGGAACCTCTCCTCGTTGACGTATTATGTCATCGGATTTATAATATTCTCGATGAAAATGTAACATTCTCCTATCTCGGACTTAAGAGGAAACGTCGATCTATCGTGTCACTGGACTTATAATATCCTATAATATCCATTCGTAACATTCTCAATTAAACTGAAAATAAACTCTAATCTCGGATTAAAAGGAAACATCGATCTATCGTGTCATTGGATTTATAATATTAATATAACAACGTCCTATGCGATACAACGATCATAATTATGCACCTTTGTTGGAAGAGCTTCGTTTGGACACACTAAAAAATCGTAGAATAACTCTCGACGTCACCTTTTTGCATAAATTGATAAACAATAATATTGACTGTACATCATTATTGGGATCTGTAAATTTCTGCGCACCATCTAGACATTTAAGAAGTAGAGCGACTTTTCACATCCCAACGCACAAATCGAAATACAGGGTGTCCCGTAACTCCTCGAACACCCGGAAATGGGGGGTTGCTGGGGTGACTCTGAACAACTTTTTCATTTACCAAAATGTCGGTTGAAGCTTCGTTTTTGAATTATTAACGAAAAACACTGGCCAATCAGAGCGCGCGTAGAGCCCGCGTCCAGGCACGGGAGCGCAGAGACTCATCGCGCGCGATCATGAACAAACGAGTACGCGCGACTTCTCGGCAATAGAGATTCACGCGTACGCTTGTTCACGATAGCGCGTGGGTGAATCTCTGTTCGCCCCTGCCTCAGCGCGGGCTCTACGCGCGCTCTGATTGGCCAGTGTTTTTTGTTAATAATTCAAAAACGAAGCTTCAACCAACATTTTGGTAAAGGAAAAAGTTGTTCAGGGTCACCCCAGCAAGCCCCCATTTCCGGATCTTCGAAGTGATACCTTGATTTATTCAGTGTGAAATGCTAAGAACTAGTTTCATTTACAACAGAGTGATACTTGAGGTGATGTCGCCACGAGACTATCAAAATACTAATTTTCGTAAGACCAACTGCCAAGACTTCCAAAAAGGGACGCGCTTCTGCCTCGTTTCCTTAGTTTTATCCGCTCGACCAGTTGCTGATTGGTGGCCGATTTCTTCTGGGGGTTGTAGGTGGGACGCAGCTCTTTCCAAGGTAAAGGGATTGTTGCTTAACATTAGAAAACCCCCATTTTTGGGTTTTTCCCAGGGGTTGCCGCGTGACTTTCCACCGCGCACGTGACCTCTCCACGGGGGGTACGGTACGCGCGAGAGGACCGGTACCTCGGTCTGGCGGCCAAGTGTAATTGAACAAGTTTATGACGATAATCCGCCAGACCGAGGGTTCGTCGCGATTTCTTGCTAGGCAACAACGTAGTTTAATATTATATAATGTGTCTGTACTAGCTGTATAAGTTTGTAAAAAAGGGCATAGCCCGTTAATTGTATCATTCAATAATACCGAACACACGCCTTTCCACCAATTTCCTCCACGATTATCCTGAAATTAATGGAATCGTCCTTACTATCTTCTCGTTAATCTCGAATTAATCGAACAATCTCCCACAGACCGTCGAAACGAAAACAATAACCTCGAACACCTACGTACCAAACTAATTCGAGGTCTCGAAATAAGTACGAGACCAACCCAGATAATCCTCCAGAATCTCCTAACCTAGATCCAATCCCGCGTAATTATCCAGGAAGAACGGCCGATCCACATTTATCCCCGCTTCTCTATTATCCTGCGAAATTCGTCACCGGTCCTCCGAGAGAGCGAAAATTGAATGTATCTCGCGGAGTAACGCGTTTTCGACTCGGAAGAGTAATTTTAATCGCGACAGTTCTCTGGTTCCTGTGCACGTACGAAAAACCGCCGTGGCGAATTTAAAGTCCTTCAAAGGATACCCTTAAATCTGGCGTTTCGAGAGTAAAAACTTGCTGGAAATTTCGGCGGGGGATTTTGAGGATTTGGTTGGACGATTTTCTGTCACGTCCGTTTCAACGATGGCCTCCGGGTCCTTTGGTGGTTATCCTCGTCAGGATGACTCGAGCCGCGCATTAGCGAGCGGATTACGCGAGTTCGTCGGTTAGAGATTCACTTTTGATCTCTGATCCGGGGACGGAGCTGTGGATAACTTTAGTCAATGCCGTTGGTATAATAGTTTGGATATTAACTACGTCGCGTACTACCAACTGCGAGGCGAGCCTTACAGCTAGCGCTAATGCATCGGGTAATTAGGGGAGGGATTCTGGTTCGCTGGTTATACCGTGCGGGTGAATTAGAAATGGAATTAAACCCTTTGGCGTGCGAATAAAACGTGCTTCGGTGGGAACGAAGAATGTTGGTTAATTTTTATGGGCTGAGGAGTTGTGCGAACTTGGAAACAGATATGGAAGCTGTGAAGGTTTTTGGGGAGACTAATATTTTTCAGACTTGGGATTTTAATTTACATCGATATTGAACCTGTGAAGGTTTCAGTGAGTTGATTTTTTGTGAATGATAGAAGTGATTTTTCTAATATTTTTGAGATTTGGGATTCAAATTTATTTTGGTATTGAATTTGTAAAGATTTCATTGAGCAGGCTTTTTGTGAATGATAGAAGTGATATGCCTGATATTTTTTAGATTTGGGATTTACATTTTCACGGATATCGAAGATGTGAAATTTGAATTTTGTGAAAGTTTCATCGAGAGGGTTCTCCGGGAACCTCCGTATGTTTCAGATTTGGAATTTAAATTTACTCTGATATTGAACCTGTGAAGGTTTATTTGAGTAGATTTTTTTCAGAATGGTACAAGTGATTTTCCTAATATTTTCGAGATTTTGGATTTCAAATTTCAGGAATACGGAAGCTGTGAAGGTTTCATTGAAGTACATTTTTTGGGAGTCTAATATTTTCCAGATTTGGGGTCTAAATTGCCCCTAATATTGAAGCTGTAAAATCCTCATGTTGCGAAGGTCTAAATGAAAATTAAAAAAAGAAAAATGATTTCCAAAATTCACGACTGAAATTTACACGAATGCCCAATCTGCCACCAAATTTTTACGAATTTCTAATTAACCTTTGAATTTTTCGAGTTTGAAAAGCCTCTTAACATCCTTGTTCTTCAAATTTCTGTTCCAGG